GGGACGGGGACGGGACAGCCTCTTACAGCTCAAGCTCTGGACACCCACGGGGGACACAGGGCTATGGAGTCAGTCCTGAGGTCAGCCACGCAAGTAGGTGGCCTGAAAGGAAGCGGAGAAGCTTGCTTCGCAGGTTGTGGTGGGGACTGACAGACATGCCTTTGAGAGTTGGCACAAGCTGCTTTCTTTATAAAGCCCAATGAACTTGGCAAACTACCCTGATCACTGTGGCAAAGTGGGCCTTTGACCTCTGCTGCCCCACCCGCTCTGCAGGGGACAGCCCCACCTAGGCAGGGGCAGTGTTTATTAGGGCGCATCCCCTCTGAGCAGTGCAGTCCCACAGCAGAGAGAAGGGTAGCAGCTGTTGGCTGGTCTAGCCCTTTCCTTCTGCAGATCAGACACTGAGGCCCCAGAGACCAGGGGATGCATCCACTTGCTCACCTGGTCTGAGCTGCCCAGGACCCGTCCCACCTTCCAGGCCAGATGCCTCGGCCCAACACCTCTGCACTGTCCGCCAAATGTTTTCATGGGCATGACGCTCACAGGAGGTTCTTGGCATGTGTGTGAGGGAACATAGGGAGAGGCTGAAGAGGTTCAAGGATTTGGGAGTAATGTAGAAGTTGGGGGGACAATTCTACTTGGATGCCATCCACCCACCCTGATGGGCAGACCTTCCTGGAAGCCAGCGTTCCTGGAGCACTGGCATTTCTGCAGGCAAACTCCTAACTGCCTGTGCCTGCAGGGGTTCTGGGACTCAGTGTGTCCCTGAGAGGAAGGACAGCCAGGCGGTCAAAGTGGGGGGAGACAGGCTAACACTTCCCAAGGCTGGCTGGGCGCTGCCTTCGGTCTCCGCAGGCGGGCTGGCCCGCGCCACACCGAAAGGACGTTCTGAGCCCAGGGGCAAACGTGGCTTCCTGGGTGCCCCCAGGACGAGGCTCTGTTCGGAGGCGGTTTCCAGGGCCCACAGTGAGGGAGAGCACTGCAGCCGCAGGCTCGGGCGTCAGCTGGCTTTATTGGGTGCGGGGACGGCTGGGGTGCCGAGCGTGTCGGGGGCTGGCCTTGCCTGTGCAGCCGAGGTTGGGCCTGTGTTCGGTGCCTTCTCGCCTAGTGTCCAACAGTTTGGAGGATTTCCAGGGCCAAGGAGGCCACCGCACTGTCGGCAGACGAACTGTGAGGAAGACAAAGTCAGGTTGAAGAGCCGCCTCGTTCAAAGGGGCTGGTGTCCGATGCACCAGCTGCTTCTCCTAGGGCGGCCCCTCCGCAGTATCTAGAGGCACAGAATCCGTGTTCCCAGGCTGAGGTGCACACCCATCAGCCACACCCCCAGTGGGGCTCAGAACTGGCCCCACCAGCACCCCTAATCGAGGCCTGAGCTCCTGGCCCACCAGCTCTCAGCATCTGAACGGCCTGGGCCAGGTGCACTGATGCTGAGCTGTCAGGCAAGTCAGACAGCAGCCAGACCCTGCTCAGCCTGGCCCGGGTCCAGCGGCTGCCCACGGGGTCCCACAGGGTCCCACAGGGTCCCACGAGGGGGCCTGCCCAGCACCTGCCTCCAGCTGACTTGGACCGAAGACCGAAGATCCCAGACCCGCCCAAAGGCTGACCCTCCTGCTCCGTGTTGCCACTGGCTGGCCCATCAGCCACGACTCTTGGGTGTCTTATTCCCATAGGTGTGGATGTGCAATTAAGAGCTTAACATGGAGACTGTTACCGGAGCAAATTGAGACACATTTAAGCCTGTGCGCGAACAACTGTTAGCAAAGAAAGAGTGACACACAGCAATGTTCACCTTGAAGTATGCAATTAGCTGTGGCACCTCCCACTACACACAAATAGAGCTGTTGTCAATCAGGTGGGCGCTGCATAGAAGGGGGACCCCGGGGGGACAGGGCAGGAGACGGGGCTGCACAGCCAAGGTTCCGAGGGTCTGCCCTGCCCACTGAGCCACCCGGAAGGCTCAGTGACTGGCAAAGGGCACGTCAACCTGTGGCAGAGCCAATCAGAACCAAGAGCACTGCCATTCCCTCCTTGGTCACCATTAGAAAAGCCTTTCTTCAGCCATCGGAGCAAAGCCCAACCTCCCACCTGCCTGGAGTGCTGGGGGCAGGAGTGGGGGCGGGGGAGGCCACCAGCCCCACGGAGCCCTGAGCCTCACTTGACATTTGGTCGAGATTTAGGTGCATCCCGAGGCCGCACTGGCCTGGACCCGCAGGCAGCCTGAGGGCCTGCTAGGAGGGTCCCACAGGCAGCTGGGGGACGGGCTCTCAGGAGCCGGCCACCGAACTGCTCAAGGCTGGGGTCCCCGGGGGTGGCTGTGTGTGCAGCCGAGTCCTTGTCTGCACCTCACACCGGGGCTGCCATGGTGAGGCGGGGCCTCCCATCACGTCGGCCTGCCCTTCCCTCACCCACAGGAACCAAGAGGGGGGGGGGCGGGTAGCCCAGGAGGTGGTGCCCCCTCCCTCACCCAACCAGGATTAAGTACAAAAGGATAGAGGGAGCCCTGCCTCCACCACAGACTCGCCGCGGCAATCACATGTATTTCTGCAAATGAATACCATCCCAAAGCACCGAAAACAGGCTTCACAGACCCTGTGGTGCTGACAGCTACTGGGAAATGTGCGGTGAAGGCCTTCGAGGTGCGGCCTTCTGCCCAGGGTGGGAACGGACAGCAGCGGGGGCTCAGGACTGTGGCCCCACACATCTGGCTACCGCCCTCAGCACGGGGATGTGGCCTGAGGGAGGAGGGGTCACTGCATTCACTGACCACTCCGCAAACCCCCCAAGCCCCACCACTTGCCAGGCGCGGTGCCGCCACACCGGTGAGCGGTGAGCCGTGAGACAGGGCCAGCCGGCGGGAAGCATGGAGGCCTGGGGACAACTCTTTATCCCTGTGTTCCCCTTTGTCACTTGGCACTAACATTCACATAAACAGAGTATAAGCTCTACCCCTACCAGCTGTCACCACCTCTCAAGTTCAGGGGTGCAGGGGGTGCGTGTCATGGCAGAATGAACCCTCTCTGCAGCACTCACCCACTGAGCATCCGCATGACGGTGGGGCTGGCGCTCCTGGGTGACAGCGCTGCCTGGTCTGCCCCTCAGTTCTAGACACTGCACAGCTGGGAGTGGAGGCAGAGCTAACCTCGCACTCCAATTCTGGGAGTCACAGACTCTGCTCTCTAGGTTCCAGGTGTTCCTTCTGGCCAAGCTGGGCAGCCTGGTGCTGCCGGGCAGGCTGAGCTGTCGGTTCTGACCCCAGCCTTTCCCTGACCTCCAGTCCCTCTGCCAGGTGGCGGTCGCCTGTGGCCCGGGCTGGCATGGGGGTGCGTGTACACAGGCTGGTTACCGACCACCTTTTGGGGTTCATCACATCTTCCACCTGTTGTCCCCTCCCAGCTAGTCATAGTCCACTCCCCTCCTCAGTTCTGTCCCCTATAGATGTGATACTGGGGGGGCTAAGATATCCTGATTTTTATCTCTCTTCCTGTTGACACCCCTCATTTGGACAGTGGGGGGTCCCCAGGGGATAGAGACACAGCGACCATGCTTCCCACGCTGGGAGGGACCTCAGTGGCAATGACCGAGTGGAAGATGGTGGTCCCTGGTGTGTAGAGGGAGTGGGGGGACAGGCGGAGAGAAAAGAGTGGGTCAGTGTTTGCTGAGCCCAATAGATTGCACGGGCCCTTCCTGGGCCTGCTCACCCGCCAGCCGGGGCCAGCCGCTCCAGCGCCCGCAGGAGGCTGCCCGCACCCTTCAGGCTCTCCAGGTGCTTCTCGTTGGAGGTGACCTGCAAAGGCGGGAGAAGACAGTGGTTGGTGGGCCCAGCCCCGACTCAGTGCTGGGCTACCTGTGGCCTTGGGGAGCAAGCCTCAGCCCCACCCCACAGGACGCTCTGACCATGGGGACAGAGGCAGACGGTGGGGACTTTGGGGAGTCACGGGCGGGGGATGTGCCTGGCCATGGGGGGTGCCTCAGGAGGCACCGGACTTTCGGAAGGCTCTGCCGTCTCCGCGTCTGTCACCTCCTCCTTCCCACAGCCTCGCCTTGCACGGTAAGCGGCGGTGTGTTTTACAGGTGAGTCACCGGGGCTCAGGGAGACGCAGGGGTCACCACGGCAGGACCTAGGGAGCCGGAGCCTCTCGTCCCCTTGGAGGCTGGCCCCAGGCTGGCCTCAGGTGACCCCCTGCTCAAGTGTCCCTTCCCCTTGACCGTAGCAGCCCAGGCTGGACTGCCATCGCCCAGTTCTAAGAAGAGGCTGAAATTTCTTAGCCACAGGGACAGGAAGGTCACGGGGGTCCTTAAACTTGCAGGTGGACTCTGCACCTGCGCCACCCCACTCCCAGCCTCGTCCAGCTGCCGGCTCAGCTGCATGGGGTGCGCTGGCTGCAAAGACCCGCATCTTCAAAGAGCTGCACCTAAATGCCCTGAAATCACACCCGGCTGGGTGACTCCAGAGGCTGCTGCTGGGGAAAGCCGGCTGTGGTTCAGTTCTGCCTGAGGCGAGCACAGGCTGACACTGACGGCCGGGCCCTTCGGGGAGGTTCCCCAGAATGTGCCTCATGCAGGTCCGCTGAGCTGCACCCACACCTACTGCCCTGCCCAGCCCTCCCATGGGACTGTGCGCTCCAAAACAATCGCCCAACAGGTTCCAAAGAAACAGTAAGACTGCATTTACTCGCAAGGCTAGTCAGAAGGTGCAAATGGAAAATACAGTGAGAATCACACAATCAAAGGAAAGGACCAAAATAGCATCATGTGAAACGGACATAAATGCAGGCATCAACAAAGCCAAAAGAATTAATGGAAAATTATGTGATTGGCCACTTAATGGGACTCTTATGAACAACACCAACTGTTGTCCTGCATATAAAGACGAGTTAATTAGAAAATAAAAATTGTAAACAATATCAGGGACTCCAGTTCTGGCTGAGAGAGAAAAGACATGCTCCCCTGCTCTCCCTCCGAATGCAACTATGAAACCTGGACAGAGAACACAGCTCAGCTACTGGAGAACAGTGAGAAGCAAACAGCGACAGGCGGGGAAGGACACTGGATCCATCTCTCTCCTTCCAGGAAGGCCAGCAGGACTCGACCAATCCAACCCCCGAAGTGAGCACTGTGGGCGAGGAGAGAGCTCCGGAGAAGCCAGGCTTGGGGAAGGGAGAAGAGAAGAGAGAAGAGAGAAGCTCAGAGAGAAGAGATGAAACTCGGGTATTTTCCTTCCTTCTCCTCAGCTCTCTGTGGCCCCAGGCAGTTCTGGTGGCAATAACCACGGTGAGGGTAGCAACAGCGGCAGCCAAAACTCTCTCCTCTGTCCTCCCACTTCTTCGCCCAGAAAGGACAATTGTGGAAGTCAGCAGTGTATGGCCAGACAGAGAATGGGAGATCCAGGGAACCGGGGAGAGCTCGAGAAAGCAACCCCATTAACTTGTTTATGAATTCCTAGGCTCACCCTTAACTTGCGCTCGCGTGGAACTGGTCCAAACAGCACACCCAAAACTCAGAACTGAGCTAACAAGCCTCTGCCCAGACCCCAGCCTGACCCTTGGAGGACACACAGAGAGATTCCAACAGCATTGCAAGTGCTTTGAATCTGATATTGAACTTATAATTCCAAGCTGCAGTCTGAACCTAACCATCATAACTGCTTACTAAAATAAAAGTATCAATATTCTCTGTAGGGTTTCAACAAGACACAGTGCCTTATAATGTAATATTTAAAACAGGATAAAATCCAAAAGGTGAGCAACCAACCACAGAAGTCTCAACTCACATGAGACAAGACAATACATAAGAAAATGACACAGATGTTGGATGTATCTGACAAAGACTTTAAAGCATTATAAAAATGCTAAAACAATAACACTTGAAATAAGTGTTAAAATAGACTATAACATTCTTGAAACAAATATTAAAATGGAATAGAACAGTATGAAAACAGAATAGAGTATTAAAATAAAATAGACTATAAAAATTAGAAAATATAAAGGAGAACCAAAAAATATATATTAACAAAAAATAAATAAAAAGCCACACTGAATAGACTCATCAGCAGAATGGAAAGAGGGAGCGAACTTGAAGACAGATCAATGGAAACGATTCAATCTGAGCAACAGAGGAAAACATGTTGAGAACACCAAGGACAGAGCCTCAGGGACCTGTAGGACAATAACAAAAGGTTTGTGTCAATGGAGCTCTAGAATGAGAGAACAGCATAAATGGATGAAAAGGTATTTGAGGAAATCATAGCTAACACTAGTCCAAGTGTGATGAAAGACATGAACCTATAGATTCAAGGAGCTGAGAAAATGTCCAACAAGATATCCAACGAATCCACACCCAAGCAGTTCATAATCAAACTTGAAGCCAAGGAATGTTGAAAGCATGCAGGAAAAAAAATGATGCATTACTTAGAGGGGAACAATGATTTGAATTACTGTGGATTTCTCTTCACACTGATATCAGAAGAAAGTGCCAAAACATTTTTAAAGTGCTAAAAGAATTACCAAACTAGAATTCTATATCTAGCAAAATATTATGGAATTAAAGTGAAATAAAGACAGTCTCATATGAAGGAAAATAAGTGGAGGCAGAACTGTTTTAAAAGAATTGTTAAAAGTTGTTTTGCAGAGAGAAAGGAAATAATACCAGGAGGAAACCTGGAACATCAGAAATGAAGGAAGAGCAACAGAAAGGGTAAATATCTGAAGAAACGTAATGGAATATTCTCTTTCTTTAAAATAATGCTAGATGATAGAAAAGCAAAACATATAAATTGTCTGATGGGGTGCTGCTGTATATAGATATTTTAAAAACCCTGAAGAATAAAGAGGAAAGGAGCCTGTAAAGTGTTATGGTTTCGATATTACAATTAATATTATAAGAAGACTGTGAAAAGTAAAGCATTTTATAATCCCAATAGCAACCACTAAAAAAAAACCTTACACAGGGATAGTAAAAATATACATTAGGTAGTAAAAATATAATAGATTATAAAATGTAATGCTAGTAAAAATAGTTAAAGAGCTTTATAAAAAGGCAAGAAAGAAAAATAAAAATGGGGGAAAAACAGACATCAAATAAAAAGGTAGATTATATCCTAACATATCAAGAATAGCACTAAGTGAAACAATCTAAATGCAGCAAATAAAAGAGATTTTTTGATTGATTAAAATATTACCCAAGTATATACTATCTATAAACAACTTAATTTGTATACAGTATGATAGATAAAAGGATGAAACAAATATACTATGCAAATATGAATCAAAAGAAAACTACGTTACAATCAGGCAAGGTAGACTTCAGAACAAAGAAAATTGGGGATACATAACATTTTGATAAAAGGATTCTGTTAACAAGAAGTTATAATAATAAGTGTGTATGTTTCTAACAATGGAAGTTAAAAATACACAGAGCAAAACCAGGAAAACAGACAAGTCCACAATTGTAGCTAGAAACTTAAAAATTACTCTCCTAGTAATAGACAGCATGAGTAGACAAAAAACCAGCAGGATGTAGCAGGGCTGAACAACACTATCAATGAGCTGGATCTCACTGACATGGTAGAGCACTAAACCCATCAGTGGCAGAACATACATTTCCCCCCAAGAATCCAGGAATATTCACCAACATGTACAATATCCTGGGCCATAAAAAAATGTTAATTTAAGAGAACTGAAACCATATGAATTATTTTTCTGATCATAATCAATTAAATAGCAATAACAAAGATAACAGAAATAGCTCCGATCACTTGGAAATTAAATAACACTCTCCTTATAATCCTAGGACCAAAGAGGACATCCCAAGAAAAATGAGAAAATATTCTTAACTGAAATTAAATGACTATGTAATATACCCAAATATGTGGGATACAGCTAAAGCAGTGCTTAAAGGGAAATTCATAGTACTAAGTACTTATATTAAAAAAGAAAGGTATGAAATCAATAATCCAAGCTTTTGTGTTAATAAACTAGAAAAAGAAGAGCAAGACAAATGCAAAGCCAAAGAGGAGAGGAAAACAAGAGCAGAAATCAGGAGTAACATGATAAATGTAGACCCAAATATGTTAATATCTACATTCAATGTAGATTCAACAAATACTACAAGTAAAAGACTAAGATTTTCAAACTAGATATAGAGAAAGTAAGACAGAAGTATATGCTGCTTACAAGAAAAATAAACAGGAGGGCACAGAATAGCTTAATGTAAAAGATATGCTACACAAGCCATAGCCAAAGACATCTGGTGTAGCTACTATCAAAGCAGACTTTAAGGCAAAAGTCATAATGATAGATAGAGACATTTCATGTTTATTCAAAGATTGATCAACCAGGAAAATATACCAAGTCTAAATTCTAAATCTATCTAATACCAGCCTTAAAATCCACAAAACAAAAAATTGACAGAACCAAAGTGAGAATTAGGCAAATCCATAATTATGGTGGGATGCCTTTCAATTTCTCCAGTAGCATGCCAACAAAAATCAACAGGGACATAAAAGTTTTATACAAAATATGAACAAATTTGACCTACTTTACATATATGTAGAGAAAAACACCCACCTAGTAACTGCAAAATATATATTCTTTTCAAGTGTATATGGAGCTTTTTCGAAATGTACCGTATGCTGGGTCACAAAGCGAGTTCTGACAAAGCTCAAAGGTATAAACCTAAACAAGTGTACATACTATATTCATGGATTGGAAGACCCAGTATAGTCAAGATATTTTCTCCAAATCTAGGTTTAAAGCAATTCCTATCAAAATCCAAGCAGGATTTATT